GAGCATAGAAGACTATCTTGCATGCACACCTACACACACGTGAACATGTATGCATACACCACAAACACACAGACAGGCATACAACTACTGACACAAACTATGAGACAGAAAAAAAAAGGGGAAGTTAGAGAAAGATTTATATAGAGACAGGAAGGATTTGGTTATGGAGATGAAAATGGGCTAGTATAGATGGGCTATATGGCCTGAAATGCGGCTGTAAATCTAGGTAGGGTCTAGATCAGGCAGAACCTTAAAAGATGAAGACTTAGGTAGGTCCTAAGAGTTCAGACCAAGAAGCCAGGCAGTGGTGGTGCACGCCTTTAATCCCAGCACTTAGAAGGCAGAGGCAGGCAGACCTCTGTGATTTTGAGGCCAGTCTGGTCTACAGAGCGAGTTCCAGGACAACCAAGACCACATAGAAAAACCCTGTCTCAAAAACAAACAAACAAAAATTTAATTTCATGTCAAGGACTTTGACTTAAGGTAATAGTAGTTGTTCGGTAATAGGGAAAGAATCAGGCTCCCTTATCCTGCTTTCCTACTTATACTATACTTTTGTATAATCAAATAACAAAAGAGGAGCAATTTCCTTTGTAACTAATAAAATAAGATTAATAGAATTATATCACCACTTAAAACTCCTAGTAAATGAGCTGATACAAGCATTACTCATCAGTGACTGCTAACATTACAAAAAGAAAAAGACAAACCCACATTTGTGTATTGCCAAGTGGAGAAGTGCCCAGCCACCTATGAAGTAATCTTGTCCTAAATCAAAATTAAATCTGATAAAACATCTAGCTCCTACTACTGATTCACACAAAAGTACAGAAGGGAAGGGAACATGCTTTATACATCAAATGTCAAAATCTACATTGTGGCAAATAACGCAACATAGTCACTTACACCCAAAAGAGGAACATAATACAGAGGTCTCAAACAGATACCAACCAAGCACAGTATAACCCAACAAACTAGAAAAATAATATATGCAAACATGTATAGAGAAAAGCCATGGGTTAATGGTCACTCTGGACTGTAGAGCTGAGATAGGGAGAGTAATAGCTAATAGGCCTGGGTTTCCTTTTGGGTGATATGAAAGTTTAAAAATTGACTGTGGTGATAGTTGTACAACTCTCAAATATTAAGAATATCTGAATGGTACACTTTAAATGTGTGGATTGGATGGTATGTGAGTTGTATTTTAATAAAATTTGTACACATATATTACAGACACTATATATATACTACATAGAGTATATATTATTGTTGGTCTGTACCGTCTGAAGATGATAAACAATAGCTGGACTTTCAGTTATACATGAGCAAGTTTAGTGAGTATATTTCACACAAAAATTTGATAATAAATAGAATAGCAAATAAATAGAATAGAAAGCAAAACATCATCCAATGGGGCACTCAAAACTTGCAGCAGAAATTGACTGGAGAAGTGGCATAGAGTCAGCCAGCTAGAGTTCCTGACTGAGAGAGCAGTGTCCTTTCAGGTGGAGCTTCCCAGTAAAAGAACAGATAGCAGTAGGAAAATAACATCATCAGTTTGGACTTTTAAAACCACCTGGCAGAAACCAACTGGACAAGCTGAAGCTGTCAGCTGAACTTCCAGTTTCCTATTCCCGCTTCAGGCTTTTTAATGTCGTGGGATAAACAATAGTAACCTCTGTTAGAAACCGTTTACCTTAGAGCTGTTTTCAAAGATGTGGTGTCTTTACTCTTGGGTTGTTTTGCTGTTTTCTTCTCCTGGTGTTACAGAGGTGTATGTGTGCTGGGATGGCAGTCCTTCTACAGACAAAGAGCCTTGGAAAATACTATGAGAAAAACATGCTTGCAACGCCAATAGGGGATGATGGGGCGGCAACCCCATTTCCAGAGCCAGCTTCTCAGGGAGTCCGAACAGCATATGACAATTTATAAATACTATGTACAGTATAGCTATGTCACAAATATATTTTACATTATTCAAACTATATCACAGAACTGTGAAATATGTAAAAGAAAAGATCCAGAGATGAAGAAAAAATATCCAAAGAATGGAATATTTCTATTCAGAGGAAATAATATTATGCAAGAAAGAACATGGTGTTTTTGAGGTGAAAAAAAAAAAAACATAACTGCAACTGCCATGTTTCTTGAAAGAGAGTACAGACAGTAGTGCTATAAAAACCACAGTGAGAGCTTGGGACTTTACCTGAGAACAATAGAAACTGTTGGCTGTTGACTGACATGGTTGCTAAGCACTGCAATTCTGGCTGCCACTTGGACAGTGAAGAGAATGAGGAAACCAGGTAAGCAGGTATGATCTAGGTACCATCTGTTATATTTTAGAATGGTGGGAGTGGGAATGAGCGTATTTAACAGGAATTGTTCGATTGACTTGGTTTGGAATAGGGTAGAAAAGTGGCAAAGTTGACCTACCCATCTAAGTGGATGATGAAATGGGAACAACAGAGAGTGGCAAGTTTCGTGGTAAGGAAAAGAGATTGATTTTTTGTTTAGATGGTTGGAAGGATCTAATGAGGAAGTCAGGTTGAATTGTAATGGGCTTCCACTGAAATAAGTCCAGTCAGACTAGCAATTTATAATTTACAAATATTATGTACAAATATATTTTACATTATTCACAGTATATCATAGAACTTTCTCATGAGTATAAAGCATTTTTTCTCTGAATTATGTTTTGGTCTAAATAACTAAGTTCCCATTCAGCAGTAATGCTCTACCATGAGAAAGTATTTTTGCCAGAAAGGAGTTTCCCAAACTGCTCATGGATAAAACAATCCCCCTGTGGAATTTGCCTGGAATTTGAATTCCTCAGAATCATCTACACTGGGTTAATAATTAAAAGTTCCTCATACTGTCTAGTTTGTTTGTTTCACCTGTGTACAGGATTCCGATTTCACAAAATCCTCCCAGCAGAATTATTCAACCTGGTGTCAAAGAAAGGTCTACCTATTCTAGCAACCCAGGGGCAAGTCTCTGCTAGCTCAGGAAGTGGGAAGCTAAGAGGCCACAGAAACTGATCCTGTCCAGAACCAAAATACGGAAGAGGGTTCCAGCAAGAGCTACTCTTTGCATTTTTTTTTTCTTATACCCTGTCCAAGATTCTAGAACTTTGCCTTTAAGAGACCAACAGCCATTTGTTGCTTAATAAATTTTTCGAACTTAGGGTGAGAATGGGATGGGAGGATGATAACACTTTTAGAGACAAAACAAGAAATAGACAAAGCTTAAGAGAGAAAAGGAGACAAAGAATGAAATCTGTGTCTGTGTGTGTTTGTTCTGCCTGTCCTGTGAACATTAACTACTACCTCAGTCCCTTGAGTCACAATTAGAAATGCCCAATTGAACGCTCTTTTATTGACTGTCCTATTAAACAGACTAAGAACCAGACTTTGTCTACTTTATTCCCACTAGATTCTTCTCCAGTTGTTTCCATGACATGTTTTCAGCACAAACTCCACCAAGGGCCATTAGCTTAGGCACCTCCCTAGACAGTAAGATTCTTCAAATCTCAGTGAAAACCCAGGCCCAATTTGTCTTTCTGCTTTTGCCCATCGCTGAAATGGAATAATAAAAACATGATGGAGTAATACTAAGAAACCTGTAGATCAGGTTGTCGAGGATTAAATACCTTCTATATACTTGAAAAATGTGTTGAAAATTGTGATAGGCTATACAGATGTTGGTTTTGTTGCCTTTATTTTGAAAGTTGGTTTCAGTGCTTGGCGTGCTTGGTGGTTTGTCTCCTGGAGGGTGGATTTAAGTCAGAGGCGGTCAAGTATCTCTTGCAGCTGGGAGGTCAACCTACCTTGCACAGAGAAGTCTTTCGGTTTAAGAGCTGGAGGCGTGGGTACATGGTATGGATATGCAAATGTGCAGCACTCCAGGTGCAGCAGTCCTGCCTGGCATCCTGCCCTCTTCTACTCTTCTGGGGCAGAACGCAGCCTGGCTTCAGGGGGTACGCCCCAAATCGCCAGGTCTGGTTCTCTGAGGTCCAAGGAAGCCACGGCTTAAGGAGTTTTAATACCCTAAAGGCAGATTTTGCAAACGAAAACACAGAAGCCCTCTAGACAGTGACAGGTCAGTTTGGGGTGATAGGCACATTCCCTCTCCCAAGGGTAGCGAAGTAAGAGACAGTGTACTAGATTGAGGTTCACGGTTGGGGAAGGAACAGCTCACAGATTCTTTAGGTTTTGGAAGCCAGTTTGTGTTGGGGTAACGAGGAAGACATGGGAGCCGATTTTTTTTCCCTAGTCATCTCAGAACCGCACTTCCTGCCACGGTAATCAGAAAAATGCCAAGGCAACCTCAAAGCACTACTAGGATGCCAGACCTGCCTACGCTCTTAGGGTACCCCTTGCGAGGGACCTCTGTCCACCGGGGAGAATGCAGGGGAGCTCGCCAGGTTCTCAGCCACCCTCGTGGCCGCGCCTTAACAGGCCTCAGTTTCCACGTGTGGAAAATGGCCACACTACCCAAATTCCTTTTCCACCGGAGAAAGGCTGGGGTGCTTCGCCGCCACAAAATCCACCAGAGAAAAACAGCTTCTTTCGGCAGAGAGTTTCTGGGATAAGCAAATCGTCCTAACGCCTGCTTCCCTCGGTGCAGGGCCAGGCGGCGGCGAAAGGATGAACCGCGCAGGCCTTACGGCGCTTAGGCAAGTGAAGCACACAGACAAGTGCACAGACCGGGTCAAGGCCCGCGGTGCTCCTGTGTCTGGCTCGCACCACAGGTTAAGGACAGCTCGCTCCGCGCTTGCGCAACAGCCACCCTCCTCCCGGCCCCGCCCCTCCCCCTCCCGAGCCGGGCCGTCCGCGCAGAGCATTGTGGGACACAAACAAAGTGCCCCCAAACAGGCTGGAGTGAAACGAGCGGCTACGGCGGCGCCGGGCCGCACGCGCGCTGCGGCGGCTCCCTCCCAGCCTCCCGTCCCCTCCCCTCAGTCCCTTTCCCCTTCCCCACCCCGCCCCGCCGAGCCAGCGCGAGCCGTCGGCCGCCCTCGGCAACCGCCCCCAACGGCCGCCCGCGAGCCGCGGGGCTGGGCCCCTCGCTCCTCCCCTCGGGCCCACGGTCGCCAGGCGCTCTCCTCGTCGCGCCTCGCACTCTGGCACCTCGCGGGCACGCGGGTGAGCGGCGGCGCCGCCATGCGCGCCCAGTCGCGGGCTGCACACCGGCCTAGGCGCGGCGGCCCGAGATAGGGCCCCCTGAGGCTCCCGGGGGAGGAGAGGAGCCAGCCGCGCGCTCCGCCCCCTCCCCCAGGGTTGCGGGCGCCGCCGCCGCCGCCGCCACCGCCACCGCCACCTCGCCGCCCCAGCCTGGCGGGGACGAGGAGGAGGAGGAGGAGCAGTAGCAGGCCTCCGGGCCCCCGCACCGCCGCCCGCAGGTAACGGGAGGGGAGGCCCGGCGGGGAGGGCGGCGGGGCCAGCCCTGGGACCGGCACACCACGCGTCGCCCACCTGGACGCGGGAGGGAAAGGAAAGCTGGTTTTGCCACCCCCGGTCCGTGCCGGGGAGGCACCCCCACAGGGTCCCCTCATTGGCCATTGATCCCTGGAGCAGGGCTGGCCTCAGTCCCCGAGGACCCGAAGCAGTCGCCCGGATCTTCTGAGGGAGCAGATTTTGTAATGTAGCCCGCCCAAACGCCGAATGCTCTCCCGGCGGGGTGTTTATCACCGGCTCACCTGGTCTATCCGCGAGCCCCAGACCTGTTCCCTCTTCTCCCAGTCCGCCCCCTCCCCCCCCCCCCCCCCCCCCCCCCCCCCCCCCCCCCCCCTCCCCCCCCCCCCCCCCCCCCCCCCCCCCCCCCCCCCAGGATTTAAACGACACTTTTCTTTTAAAAGAAAAAGAGGAAGAGAATCCAAACACCTCTTTCCTCCTCCTCCTCCTCCCCCCACCCGCCACCTACCTGAGGATCACTCTGTATCTGGTCATTTTCCTGTCGGCCTAACAAAAAGAAAAGAGGTTACCTGCAAGTGAAATGACAACTTAAGTTGTAACTATTTAAAGAAAATTGCATCTGTTTGATTTTTTGTAAACCTTAACCAGAATCTATTGTAAACCACGATGTTCGTGTACTTTCTCGGAACTTACAGATTTTAAGACCAAAACTTGTTTTTTAAGCATGTTAAGCATACTAATCTGTTGAGTGTGTTTATCGGAAGAATTCTCAACTTCCGCTTATTAGCATTTTATGGAGAGATAAGTTAATACCAAAAGCAAACTATACAGTATAATAGATACGAGAGGCTGGATAAAGTCTTGCCATTTCCTTTTGCTTTTTTGGTAGTTCTTGGTTTAAAAAATACTATGTAGATCTTTTTTTTTTCCCCCCTTCCTATTCATTTTGATTTCCAGTTGTCTGTAGTTTTCCCTGGGGAACGTAAAAAATGAGTGTTAATACTTTTGTGTTTTAGAATGATTTGTATTTATTACGAAAACCAGACTTACTTACTTTGTGCAACAGTGCTTTACTTTTTATGTATATAGTCTTTTTCTCAGAACCTGATGATCTTGATAGTAACATTTGAATTTTATAGAAGAGACAGAAACTTAGTAATATTAATTGTACCTTGCCTCTAGGTTATGCAAGTAGTGAGTTGACAATTGAACTCAGAGACAGTTCCCAGTTAAGATGTCTTTTTTTGCTGTACTTCTCAGTAGTGATATAATTTCTTTTATGGCCTGTCCTGAAAGTTTTCAGTTTTACAGAAGTTGTCCAGAAAATACAGTACCAGATTTAGTGATCAACGTCTTCCCCCATATTGTTGCCTGTTTTGTTGTTGCTGTAGTGGGCATCAGACCCCAGTGTAGATGGTTGTGAGCCACCATATGGTTGCTGGGAATTGAACTCAGGACCTCTGGAGGAGCAGACAGTGCTCTTAACTGCCTAGCCATACTCCCAGTCCCCCAAAATTCTTAAATATTTCCTAAAAATAGCAAGTCAGTAACAGCACCCATCAGAGTTTTTGTATTCAAGTTGCCTCAGTATCTCCACAGCTGAAATCAATCAAGATTCTTGGTTGTTTTGTAGAATATGACTACATTTGAGCTTTGACCTTGTCATGCCAAAGCTTTGAATGTCTTTTCATATACTGCTCTTGTTAACTGAAATTTTGGCTATAGACCTGTCCAACTATTGATCCATGTTTGCGTAAGGCCAAGGATATCTGTGAATATAGCCCAACACAAAGTTGTAAACTGAAGAGAGAGAGAGAGTGTGTGTATAACTTAATTGATTGCACGGTTCCTTTGAGAACATTGTAGATGCTAATGATATCTTGTCAAAAGATTGGGCATCCCTGGAAAAGAAGATTTAATTAGTTTAAAGTGAAAACTTACTTGGCAATAATAGTTAAATAGGTGATGCCCTGTCCCTTTGTGTTGTGCATATTAGGAGGATTATAATTTTGGAACACCACACAGTTGATGGTGTTAAATGTGACCATTTGGTGACTGCAAGGTCTTTTGTGAAGGTGTGGTTTGACAGTTTGATTATATATGGTCTTAAGGTAGTAACTTGTAAGAAGCACGTAACTTTTTTCTGACTATATTTTCCTTAGTGATTTTTTTTAAGCTCTTAATTATTTTATTGAAGTTTCCTGAAAAGAAGAGATTTTTTCTTTATTAGGTAATAAACTAGAGTTCTCCCTAAAAATACAGATAAAATACTTGATCACCTTAAAACTTTTTCGAGTTTTATAGTAAAGCGCTGGGGAAGTTGTTATCCTAATGAGCATATTGGTTTTTTATTTTTTCATATTAAGGAGTTTATGATAACCATTATGGTCTTGAGATTTGGGGGGATAGTATTACCAGGGAGTTTTAATTTATTCATTTTATAACCAATTTAGATTCTTTTTTGAAGGCCACATTGCTCCAGGTTTGGAGATAGGAAGCCTTTCAAACGGGTTGTAGTGTATTTTGAACTTAGGATCACCACTATATTGGTACCCTTCCTGGTACAAGATACCCTAGGCTGCTTTTGCCTCTCCATCTGGAAAGAGCTATTTATTCAGGGAGTCTTGAACATTTCAGTGAGAAATGGTATTTACAAACTAAGATCTGAAAGTTTGGCATAATCATTTTATCAACTATTACTGTTTCTAGAAAGGATAGAACTAGGAATTTATTTACTAAACAGGGAGAGTCTCACTCTATAGAGCCCTTGTTCTGGAAATCACAGACACCCTTCTTCTGCCCCTCCAGTGCTGGAATTAAAGGTGTGGGCTACCACACCCAGCCATTTCAAATTTGTTTAATCATGAGTTCATAGTGATACATCTAATTCAAATTAGCAGGACAGATTTTTTTCATCTTTGGGTCTTTTTTTTTCTTTTTTCTTTTTTTTTTTTCCGGAAATGACTATCTTGCTAACAAAACTATTTATTTGCTCTCTGCTCTATTCAAATCATATAAAAATTGCAATACCAGTACTGCTGATTCTTATTAAAGTTGGAGATTTAGGATTTTTTTTTTCTAAGATTTAAAAAAAATTTTGTGTGTATAGGTGTTTTGCCTGCATGTGTCTATGTGCACATGCGTACCTGTGCCCTCAAAGGCTAGAAGAGAGTGTTGGATCCCTAGGAACTAAAGTTATAGTTGCTTGTGAGCTGCAGGTGGGTACTGGAAACTGAACCTGGGTCCTCTGCATGGATGCCAGTATTCCTAAGCCATCTCTCTAGCCCCAGAGTTCTAGTTTTGAATACATAAAATACATACATAGTTCCAAATAATGTTACAAAAACTGTGCTTTTGAAAACTTGACTCTAGGGCCTAAGTTGAAGTCCCAGTACTATCTTTTTTTTTTTTTTTCCCTCCAGAGCTGAGGACCGAACCCAGGGCCTTAAGCCCTCCACCACTGAGCTAAATAAATCCCCAACCAAAGGATTTGTTCGGTTTGGTCTTTCTTTCTTTCTTTCTTTCTTTCTTTCTTTCTTTCTTTCTTTCT